CATCTTCCTGAGTTCAAATCTGGCCTCAGACACTTGCTACCTGTGTGACCCTGAGCAAGTCACTTAACCCTGTTTGCCTAACTTTCCTCATCAGTAAAATGAGCTGGAGAAGGAAATGGCAAACCACTCCAGTATCTTGGCCAAGAAAACCTCAAATGGGGTGAGGGAAAGTTAGACATGACTAGTAAACAATAAAATTAAGCTTTGCAAAGTGCTCTGTACATACACACATACATACATATATATCATTTGATCTGTAAAAATCAGAAAAATAATTTTAGTACTACCTACCTCACAGGTCTTTTGTAAGGCAAGTGCTACAGAAATGAGTCATTATCATCAAACAATAAGCACTTAATAATAGCTGAGATATATAGAACATCAAGATTTGCTAAATGTTTGACATTTGTTTCTTATTTAAAATTCACAAGCACCTTGTGAGGAAGGTACTAAATGAAATACTAATCTAATATTACAGATTTGGAAACAATAGTTCAGAGGTTAAGTGACTTAGCTCTAAGTGTCAGAGAAAGGATTTGAACCCAGGTAGGTCTTCCTCACTTTCAGTTCAAGCAGTCTTCTGAGTGACTTCTCAAGATAATATTGAAGGCATTGGGCCTCTCTAAGATAATGATATCTTATAGGATTATTGAATATTAATGCTAAAAAAGAACTTAAACATCTTTTAGTCTAAGTCAGGAGTGGGGAACCTGCGGCCTTGAGGCACATGTGGCCTTCTAGGTTCTCAAGTGCAGCCCTTTGACTGAATCCAAACTTCATAGAACAAATCCCCTTAATAAAAGGATTTGTTCTGTAAAACATGGACTCAGTCAGAGGGCCATACTTGAGGGCCACATGTAGCCTCGAGGCTGAAGGTTCCCCACCCCACCCCTAAGGACTTAGACTCTAAGTCTTTCATTTTAGAGGGAAATAAACTGAGGCCCCAGAAGTGTAAATAATTTGCCCAAGTAGTAAATGGCAGAGCTGAGATTCAAATCCAGGTCTTAGTCCAAATCCAGTATTTTTTTCCCCCAGTACACCATGATGCCAGCTATGGGAGGTGGACAGGGTGTTAGGTATGAGAGTAAAGGAAAGGAGTCAAAAGAGATGCAGATACAAATTTCAGCTACTACTTTTACCAGGAGTATGAGCATGAGCACTGACCTTCACCATTCTAAGCCTCTGTTTTCTCATCAGCAAAATGAGGTTAATAACACTACTTCCTTCACAGAATTGTTGGGATGATCAAATGAGATGTTTATGAAGTTCTAATGAAATATTTACCTAAAAAGAGAGGCATTGCGGGGTAATAGATAAAGATCAAGAAGACTTCGGTTCAAATCCAACCTTTGCTAGAGATAAGCTATGTGACCATGGGGAAGTCATTAACCTCTCAGAGACACACAAGCAACTCTCTACAACTGTACATTACCCAGGAGTTGCTGATAGGCATTGGTGAAATTTCTACTCCTGCCTTCTCCCTCAAAAAAGAGATAGATTAGACATGTCTGTAGACAAACAGATAGACAGATAGGTACACACACACACACACGCACACACACACACATACATATCTAATAGCTTTAAAAATGCATTAACATTTTTGGGACACCCTATGTGTATATGTGAGGATGCATGCATGGTATGTATATGCATACGTGTGTGTGTGTGTGTGTGTGTGTGTATAATATTTTTTTTATTTTTATTTTTTGCTTTTTGGTGAGGTGATTGGGGTTAAGTCACTTGCCCAGGGTCACACAGCTAGTAAGTATCAAGTGTCTGAGGCTGCATTTGAACTCATGTCCTCCTCACTCCAAGGCCAGAGCTCTGTTCACTGCGCCACCTAGCTGCCCCCACAGGTATGTATTTCTTGACATGCTCAGTGCTCCTAAGGAGACCTAAGGGCCTAGAGATGTGGTATAGCACACTGGTAAGAGCAGGAGATTAAGGTAAATAAGCCCTGGATTCTAGTCCCAGGTTTATCACGAGCTGAATAAGTCACTTTTGTTCTCTTGGCTTCATCTGTAAAATGGGGATAATATAGCCTTTGTCAAGGTTATTGTGAGGATCAAATGAGAGATGACAAATGTGAAAGCTTTTTTAAAAAAGTATAAAGTGCTGTGCAAATGTATGGGTCAAGTTACCTCTTCTTCAAAGGAAAAAACAGCTAAGAAAGCAAAGCAAAGAGGGACCGACAATGGGCAAGAGCCCCAGTGGGTCTGGCAGAAGCTGTTGGCACCCAGAATATATCCCAAGAAGGGCTATTTGAGGAGCTGCCAGTGCCTTCTATCCACTGTCTGGCTCCCTTCTCTCAGGCAACTTGACCCCTGGTTGAGAGCTCAGACCACAGGATCCACAAAACCAGCCACCAGCCATTACATGAGTTTGGATCAGATAAGGCATTAGAAATCATCTAAATTCAACTGCTTTTGTTTTTACAGATGACTAGCCTAGGGCCCTGAGTGGTGGCCCTAGGTAACAGTGACAGAGCCAGGATTCAAACACAGACTCTGAGGATTCCAAATCCAGCACCTTTGTCATGACACCACTCTCCCGAGCAATCCAGGCTGACAGGTTCCCAAGCTCAGCCGAGAGGGGCTTGTCTCCCAGTTACCTTCTCACCCAATCCCACAATCAGGGTTGCTTGGAATACCTCTAATATATCCCCTATTCTTTTCTTCCCTCCCTTTAATAAGTCTATCCTATAGAAAAGCAATGTTGTACAGGGGATAAAGAACCAGCTTCCAAGCAAGGGAGAACTGGGTTAGAGTCCTGCCTCTGACACACACTGCCTGTGGGACCCCAAGTAAGTCACTTCACTTCTCATAATTTTAGGAAACTCTGTAAGTTATAGAGAAAGTGCTTACCTGCAATGGTACGGTGAATTCCCTATAACACTGAAATTGCACTGCCATAACCTAGGCTAGCCTATTCACATATAACTCAAATAGTTCTGGAGTGAAGTCAAGGAAAATCCATCCTACCACCACAAAGTCAAGAGCTATGATCCCAGATTCAAATGGAATCTTTATTGTCCCCAAGACAAATAATGGTTAACCTTGATCCTAAAATTCAGAGCTAGAAGGGCTCCTGGAAGAGAGAGGAGGACAAAGAGAATAAGTATACAGTGCCTACTATGTGCCAGGCACAGTGCTAAGCACTTTCACAAACGTTATTTATTGATCCTCACAACAACCCCATTTTACAGTTGAAGAAACTGAGGCAGAGGTTAAGTGACTTGCCCAGTAAGTGTCTGAAGCTGAATCTGAATTTAAGTCTGACTCCAGGCTCTGAGAGATCATTTAATCATTGTAATGAGAAGACAGAGGTCCATAGTTTCAGTGACTTGCCCAAGGTCAAAGGAATAATAGATAGTAGAGCTAGGATTCAGATCCAGATCTTCTGAAACCAAATAGAGTGTTTCTTCCACTCTACCATAGGGCTTTATGAGTGATAAAAAGTTTTCTTCATCACAGACTCGGGGGTCCTGGTTCAACTTTCTAATCTCCATTCTACAAATGAGGAAACTGAGGTTTAAAGAGGCTAAGTGACTTGCAAGGGATGGAGCTGGGACTCACGCCCAGGTTTTTTGGCTCACTCCACCATCCACCCCTCTGATTATTCCCACACCAGAATTCACATGTTCTCTTAACATGCCCCATATTCAGTTGGCTCTCTCATTTCACCTCCACCAACCCCATCTAACAGATCATTCACTTTATCTCTCCACAATAAAGCTCTCTCATCTGACAGCCCAGAACAGGAAATCTCCCAAATGCAAACCAATGGACCCAAAACTTTTATCAACTTGGATAGCCTGCCTTGAGCTCTGAGATCTGGGACGAGGCCTGTTCCCCCTAACAGTGTTTATAAACATATTTAAAATGGATGAAGCTCAAGGAAGAGAACTTCGGCTGGGGAATGCTCAATTCTGAGTACTGAGTAGATCGAAGATTCCCACGGATTCCCCTTAAAAGACCAAGTTCAAGACCAAGACAAAAAAAAAAAACAGGGGAGGGCAACAAAGAGGGTGGCCTGATTAAGGTCCTAAGAAAGACCAATCCCATGAGCCTGGGAAAGAAGACTCACAAACGGAGCCCAACTGTGCTGAGCTACAGCGTTTAAAAAACAAAGACCCTCTGAAACGAGTATTTCAAGGGGGGAAGGAGGGGGGAACAGATCAGAAGACTCCAGTGCATCAGCGATATTAATATTTCATATTTTGCCCTAGATATGACTGAGGGTTTTTCTCCCTGCCTAGTTTTCCCAAGTGATTTGAATAAATGAACTAAAGAAAGTCTTCAATTATCCAGCTCAGCCCTGACATTCCCTACTCAGTCCCCCAAATCCACATCTCAACAAAAGGGCTCCTCCATAGAAGCCCTAGTCCATAGTCACTTCTCTCTGATGCTTAGAGCTCCCTTCCTCCGCTGAGAAGGCAAAAGCCGCCGGATTCCTCTAAAACCATAAATACCTCAACGCCCCGACATTCTTGAGTCAAGCCAGGCCAGAGCTTGGGCCACAAGGGCCCTTGGGAGGGCTTCGGGGCCCTGCTCGATGCCCGAGAGCCCTAGGATCCGATTTAAGAGTCCACTCCCTAGGTTTGGAAGGATCCTGGAGAGAGAGGCGCGGTGGGAAATGTATCTGCCGGTTCTCCAAGGCGGGTGGGAAACAAAGCCGGGGTCAGCTTCCCCGCGGCCCCATCCAGTGAGAGGTTAGGGCAACGCCGCCCCCCCCCACAGACACACACAGAGGACAACGCCCCCCCAACACACACAAGCCGGGACAACGCCCCCCCAATATGCGCGCGCGCGCGCGCACACACACACACACACACACACACACACACACACACACACACACACACACACACACACACACACACACACACACACACGCCTCAACATTCTCCCTCCCCTTTCCCCCTCCCCCTCCATACCCCAAACAGCGCGCCTAGGGTGAGAGAGACAAGAAGGAGGCGGAGAGGGGGAATCTCTTACCTTCTCTCCCCAAGAAAGACAGTGGACCTCTTCCTCTTCCTCTTCCTCCTCACTCCCAATCCTCCCGCGACACCCAGACTGGCTGGCTCCGGTGGGGAGAATGAATTATCGGTCGGAGAGAGGAGGAGGAAAGGCGGCCCAGGGAGGGAGGGGAGGGAGAAAGGGAGGAGAAAGAAGGAGGGAAAGGAGAGGGAGGGAGGAAAGGAGGAGAAAGAGGAGAAAGAAGAAGGGAGGGGAAGGGAGAGAAGGAAAGAGGAGGGAGAGGAAGAAGGAAATTCTAGGTGCTCCTGGTGGAAAGGAGGTGGACTGAGAAGGGGGTAGCTGGGGTTAGAGATAGGGATCCGGGCTATGGGAATGTGGGATAGGGATCAGGGTGCCAGGAATGAAGGAGTAGGGATTGGGGCTATAAGGGTGAGGGGCGGGGATCTGGGCTCCGGAGGGAACAGCGAAGAACCGAGGATGGAGGGGCGCGGGTAGGGAGTAGAGCTCGTGAAAGCGTGCTAGAAATGGGGGACGAGAGAATTAAGGGGTGAGGGGAAGGGATGGGGGCTCGAGGGATGAGGATCTAAGTGGTGGGCGCGGTGTACCCTCCCACCCCTTAGCTGTGGCTGCTGGCGATGGGCTATGAGTCCTGAGCGCAGTGCAAGCTTGGCGGTGAAGGCAGCTCCGCTCTCCTCCGGGGAGATTCAGGTCGAGGGTCGGGAGGCCTGCCCAAGCAGGGAAGAGAAAGGGAGAGAAAGCGGGCTGGCCCCCAACCCCACCACCTACGAAAAGGGAAAAGGATGCGGGGAGATCGAAATGGAACCAAAAGGAGGTCAAGCCAGTCCTGCCTCGAGACTAGAAGCCCAGTCTACCCTGTCCTGGTCTGAAGAGTGTCTCATAGCCTCTTCGCCGTCGCCTTCTCCACCTTCTCCTTCCCTTCCCCTCCCCTTTCTTCCCTCCCTAGAGAGGGGGGAAAAAAACCCCAAACCCTCTAGCGGAATATGGCAGCAAAACCGGAAACAGCTTGAGGAAGAAATCCCCCTCCCTTCTTCTCATCCTCCCTCCTCCCATTCCCCAACCCTTACCGCTCCCCCATTCTCCATCCCCGACTCTGACACGGCCTGAAATGAGCCCTGAGCTGGGAGCTAAAGAGGTATACCCCCCTTCTCCCTGCCGATGGGGCTCCTGGCTGCATCTGGGGGAACAGCTGAATGTCTTATTTGCTCCTGGTTCCCACAAATCAGAGGCCATAGCTCCTTCGAGTTGTCACCTTACCGCACAGTCACTCCTATCCCCTCCCCAGCCTTTACATACATACTCTTTTAATCGTGAATCACCCCCAACCCTGGATGGGGAGTGGGGGTGGAGATCCACATACTGTTTTGTTCGTCGGGTACCTAGCTTCTCCAAAAAGGGAAAATAGCCCTTGGACCATCCAGCGCTCCATTGCTGCTTCCATACCTCCCAATTACACACTGTCTCAGTTTATGTCATAGATGAGAGATCCTTGAACTGATTATATACATCGATTTTTATGTAAAAAAAAACTACTAGTATTTCTAAATACAAACAATCCTTTATGTTTATTTATACAGTGTTTCTACATCCGTTTTAAAATTTGATCCTGTGAAGTGGGTTAGAACATATCTACATTTTACAAGGGAGGGAAATGACTCTTAGAGAAGTAAAATGCCTTACCTTAAGGCAGGTTTTGTCCTGGACTCCTTTGGCAGTCTGGTAAAGCCTATGGATCCTTTCTAAAAAAAAAAAAATATATATATATATATATATATATATATATATATATTAAGGCATGAAATAAAATGTATGGGATAAATAATACCTAGCAAAGCGCTTTACAAATATTACCTCATGTGATCCTCACAACCCTTCAAGGAAGGTACTATTATTATCTTCTTTGACAAGAAGACAATGGACTTGCCCAAGGTTGCAGAGCTAGTCGGGTCTCAGACCCAACTAGAACTCAAGTCTTCCTGAGTCCAGGCCCAGCATTCTATCCACTGTGTCACACCCACATTACAAAAGAAATCAATTATCAAAATATTTTTTAAAATAAGGTCATGGACCCCAGTTTAAGACTGGAATATCTCTCTAGCAGGCTCCTAGTCCCAGCTTTCCCCACTTAGCCATCATTGGGGGCTCAGGAAAGGAAGGAAAATGATTTGAATCTTTTACTAGTGTGAAGGACACTTTCCTCTCCAGGCAAAAATAATCATAATAATTAGCTGCTTTGCATTTTCACTGAAAGTAGCAAGAGTCAAGTATGATGGACAGAGCTAGGGTGCCTACCTCCAAACCCTCTCTCAGGAGAGTAAACTGCCTTCTTTTCATTAATTCACTGAACAAGCATTTCTTATACTCCTACTATGTGTAAAACATTGCTGTACTGGCTGGGGAAAGCACAAAGCTTAGATAAGACTGGTTTTATCCTGATCTCTGGATCCATTCATTGATCTGTCCCATCCAGTACCTGGTTCCTCTTATTCTATTCCCATCCCTTCCTCCTTTCGTAGTCATGGAATTTCTCTGCTTGGTCCCCAAGCACAAAGATCCATGGGAAATTTCATCTGTGGGAAAGGTGAGGCAGAGACTACAGTGGAGGAGGAAGGGAAAGATCAGAATGGAAACTCGGAGTTTAAAAAAAAAAGAGGCAGAGAATAAATAGGTATTTAAATAATTAGAATAATAATTTAGAATTTAAAATGAAAATTTAGCCACAGAATTAAGTACCATCTCCTCATTCTGGAATTCAAAGTCCTGTAAAATCAGTCCCTCTGTAAACTATCTGAGGGGCAAGGACAAGGTAAAATCCTGTATTGTTCTCGAGATTTTGTGATCCAATGTAATGTAGTGGTAAGAGCTCCACACTTGGAGTCTGGAGAGACAAGGATTTAAGGGCAGTTAAATGTATGATCCTGGGAAAGTCATTTTACCTCTTTATTGATTTTCTGATCTTCTTGGTATAACTGGATAAAGTTCTTATACAGTCAGGAAGACCTGAGTTCAAATCCCGCCTGAGACACAAGTTGTGTGAACCTGTGCAAGTCATTTAATCTCTTTCAGCTTCCTCAATTGTAAAATGGGGATAATTAAAGCACCTATCTCCCAGAGTGGTTGTGAGGATCACATGAAATCGTGTTTTGTAAAGCACTTTGCAAGCCTCAGAGTATAGAGATGGTAGCTTTTATTATTATTATTATTTGTAAAATGGAGTAAAATAATCATCGTATTGTCTTTCTCTGGGGGTTATTGGAGGGAAAAAACACTTCACAAAAGTTATGTAAGTGTGAATTGCTGTATTGTTATCTCTATATCCCCATAGCCTCTAACGTAGGGATTTACACAGTCAAGGCTTGATAAGTGTTTATTGAATGAAGGAGCACATAATTTTTGTATATTGACCTCCATTAACACATACTGTTCATTAATAGATTGTTAATTACATATGTATTTATATCTGTGTATATATATGCATGTACATATACATGTACATATATGTACTGTACATGTGTAGCTATAGATATATGTATATCTAAAAAATAGATTATTTCATTCTTTCATGCCTCCACATAGAAGGAAGTGACCCTCAGTTCTCAAAGACAAGGTCAGTAGAACACAGACTCTGATAGGTCTATGGTTTGAGTATGGGCCCCAAAACAAACTAACATGGGACTGCTGTCTGAGACCCAGGTTAACAAAGCATCTTTCAAAATATCAAAGATTCTTTAACATAATATACACACATGTGCAAGATGGCTGATAAAACCCACAACTTGTGACCATTTATGAACAATGCCCTACAAATAACAAATGTTTATATAAATTAGTTAAGCTCCAATCTATACACCAAAATCCAAGGTATGATCATGTCATCCACCTGCTCAAGAAGTGGCTCTCCACTGCCTCCAGGATAAAATATAAACTCCTCTGCTTGGCCTTTAAAGCCCTCCACAATTTGGCTCCAGACTATCTTTTTAGGCTTATTACACATTACTTCCCTTCATGGACTCTCCATTCTCCCCACAGTTCATCTCCAGTCTCCAAACCTTTGCACTGGCCATTATTACCCATGCCTCCTCACCTCTGCCTTTTGGAAACCCCAGCTCCTTTCAAAGTTTGGTTCAAGCAAAACCTCCCTCCTAAGCCTCTTCTTCACTTCCCTAACTATTGGTTCCTTCTTCCTCCCACCCCCCCCCAGTGGCTTTGTATATATTCTGTACTAACTCGTCTGTGTATGTTATTCCCTTCAGCAACATATATGTTCCTTAAGGGTAAATACTGTTTCATTTTTGTCCCCATCCCAATCACCTAGCATGGTACCTAGTTGGGGTTTTCTTGGCAAAGATACTGGAGTGTTTTGCCATTTCCTTCTCCAGCTCATTTTACAGGTGAGAAAACTGAGGCAAACAGGGTTAAGTGACTTGCCCAGGGTCACACAACTAGTAAGTGTCTGAGGCCAGGTTTGAATTCAGGAGTCTTCCTGACTCCAGGCCCAGAGCTCTGTCCACTACGCCACCTAGCTGCCTACATAGGAGACATTTAATAAATGCTTATTGATAAAACTCCTTCACTTTGCATTCCAGCCAAATCTGTCTAGTTGATGTTTTCCTGATCATATCTCATAATTTTCCCACTGAAAATGTTTGCTCACACCATTCCCTATACCTGGATTGCTTTCCCTTCTCATATCTGCCCATTGAATTCTGCTCATGCAAGTGTAGAGGGATGTACTAGATGAGCCCAGGAGATGCCCCTGGGTCCTAGTGTTGAAACAAAAGTTTTACAGTCCTAGTAATCACTTACAAACTCCTATGGAATTAACAGGATCATTGATTTGGTTCTGGCCTTAAAAGTCATCTAACTCAAACCCTTCACTTAACAGATAAAGAAACTGAGTCTCTGAGACTTTCAATGTCTTGCCTAAGGAAACATGAGAAGTAAATGTCAATGGGAGTTGATCTCATATCTTCTGTCTCCAAACCCAGTGCTCTTTCCAAAGCACCTCCATGCCTCTCTATATTCAACTTTATATTTCAAAGTAAATCTGACTAAACAAAAAAATTTAAAGTATACTGACATTACACTGATTTGCTGTTTGAACACCAGGATGACTAGAGCAGCTAAGTGACACAGTGGATAGAGTGCCAAGCCTGGAATCAGGAAGACTCATCTTTCTGAGTCAAATCTG